TCCAACATCTAGCTAGGCTCCCAGAATTAGCTAAGCTATAGCCCAGCTATAAAGAAAACAGACATGTAGCACGGACCACGTTTCTACCCCTTTTAATAGGCTCAAATGTCCTCAATGGACATTTTAATCGGTAAAGGAATAATTACTTAAAGAGGTTAATTAATGAAATAGGGAGTTTATGCTGTTAGAGAATACGTCTTATCTATTGTCTTAATGGAGAGTTTAAAAAGTTGCTGTTGGGGCTGAGTTTCAGTGAAACGAATTATTTAATGATAATTAATGAAAAACGGTATGTTGGGGGGGGGGGGGTTTATACATTTATTAGAAGGGGTGTACGATAGACTTATCTCCACGTGGTGCACCCTGGGCAATGTATACTCATACGGCAAAAAAGTCTTTTTACCGGCAGTTGACTTCTGACTTCAAACTACCAATACCCCACTGTATGTCTTATTCGATCACTTCCACCATACTTATCCTACCTTTTCTCTGCCTTTGTGTCTGTCTGTCCCTTTTACATCTTTGCATCACTCTTCTGTCCCCCTTCTCCACTTTTTCTCACTTTGATGTTCCTCCTTCCCTCTGTGAGGCCCGAAGTCAACTAAAGGGCAAATGATAAGTATCATAAAGCCCGCCATTTGAAATAAATAATTATTAGTATATATGAAATTGTCAAGCCTATTGTCAAAACAATAAGAAAAGCGATGTAATACAAAGGACTGTCATGAGAAGGACCCTGACTATATATTTCTATATCCAAATGTTAACCAAAAGCCTTATTTTATATGTACTAATTATGAATTTTAAACGTAGTCTTTCTCAGAGTTAGGGTTTCTTTGGTCAACAGATGGATTTGTTTCTTAAGCATGTGATTGAAAAATACACATGAAACAAACGTTATTGGCAATATGAGATGCATTGCAACTATCACCTAATACTACTTAGGGCCCAAATCCTAACTAAATAGAATGTTCATAAAGAAGTAAGAACTATCTAAAGGTCCATGAAATTTCCCACATTCAATTTCAGCGTAAACAAAGTCAATTCCCCATTACCGAACTATTTTTTAATTAACACATAAGCATATCTTCAATAATACCACAAATATTAAATCATGTTCCACTTCAATCTTATTCAATTTTGTTTGAAATCAAGATAGTGGAAAAAATAATAATTGACATAATTAATTATAGCAAATCATACTCTATATTGTCCGTTGAGAATTTGTGTGTATAGGGTTTCTCGGGTTCCATAGAATGGAAGGGTACCACTAAGAAGGACACAGAGAAGAACGCCACAGCTCCAGGCATCCACGGGCTTACCATAGGGTTCGTGTCGCACCATTTCCGGGCTCATGTAATGAGGTGTGCCAATACGTCCTAGATAAGTTAAAGTTATGTTAAGAATTTTTGCATCGGAGTTATGCAAAGCATTAGCAAATGGATGCTACGTTCATTTGAGGAGGGACGGGAGGGAGGGAGGGAGGGGAAACGCTTAATCAGCGTTGACGTTCAGTAAGTTAATATTTCACCAACTTCTTTCTTTCTATGACAATTTCTATATTTTCTCTTATAAATTACTTTAATAAAGGGGTGTGCGATAGACTTACCTCCGCGTGATGCACCCTGGGCAACGTATACTCATACGGCAAAAAGTCTTTTAACTGCACCCTGGGGAACGTATACTCATACGGCAAAAAAGTCTAACACCCTGGGCAACGTATACTCATGCGACAAAAAAGTCTAAAATACGGGGTGTGCGATAGACTTACCTCCGTGATATATTTAATGAATGGGGTGTGCGATAGACTTACCTCCACGTTGTGCGAAATAGCAATGTGGGGTGTGCGATAGACTTACCTCCACGTGGTACGCCATGGGCAACGTATACTCATACGGCAAAAAAGTCTATTAATCAGCAGCTGACTTCTGACTTCAAACTACTACCACCCCACTGTATGTCATATTCCACAAATTCCACAGTACTCATCTTTTCTCTAGTTTTGTGTCTCTCTGTCTGTCTATTCTACATCTTTGAATCAATCTTTTGCTCCCCATCTCGAAATTTTCTCACTTAGATGTTCCTCCCTCTGTGAAGCCCAAAGTTAGCTAAATGGCTAATGACAACTATTCAAAACGCCTGCCATTTGAA